GGCTAAGAACTTTTTCGACGTAGTCTGGATAATTCATTTGCAACCATAGCCTCAAACTGGCACTGTGTCTTGATAAAATAATATGACCACCATAGAATGCACGAGGTCTTGATGATTTGTTAGTAGATGGCGACTGTGGACGTTCATCATGGTAAAAGAATGGGTTGAGCCGAAACGGATGACGGGCGACGATTCTACGTACTCTCTGATCAGCAATGATTTCGACGTTTTCATGATGAATGAAATGCCAATGCAAACCTACAGAATCATTGACACGTGGATCAAAGCTGTATCGAAGTTGTTGGCCTTTCCTAGGGCGAATAAAGTAAAGTGTCACACTATTTTCGAAGTCCAAATGTTTGTACCAACTATGAAGGGTGGAAAAGCGCAGTATGTCAGCATCAAGTTCTTTTCGACTGTATTGTGTCCATCTTTTCACTTGTGAGCGGAGACGAGAATTAGAATCAAAGAAAGCATTATATCGATCAGCTGGTGAAAGAAAATCTAAAATGCAGATAATCACCTTCGGTGCAAGATCTTCAAACGTAGTAATGTTTTTTACTGTTGTCATGTGATTATTATCGTATTTCTTCAACAAAATTTAGAACAATGAATGCAAAGCATGCAGATAAGAAAAGAATATGACTCATTCTATTTAACTTCTTGCAAAAAGGAGAAAAACAAAAGCCCAATAAAAATATCGCATACTGCCTCCTTGTTGTATGCGATGAAGTAGACCAAATGAAACTTATTTTCGTACGCTGATTTCCTTATTTATAAAAAAAAAACTTCAGATCTGACATCCTATAAGTTTCAATATAATTACTCAGATGAAACTAGTACGCCCTATGCTTGAAAAAGAATGGAAATTATCGCTTGGATAGTAATTGGATTAGGACCACATATTGGCGTATTGAAAACTGTCAGAAACGAGTATAAGCTGTGAATACTTGTTTGTTTTTTGTTTCTGAAATGTTTGACTTTGATTTTTTGTCAAGGAAAGATGATTTTTGGAAAACAAAAATTGTTTTCTTAAGATGTATATTGAATTGAGAAACAAGCAATTTAATGAACAACAATAAAATTTAGCAATATTTATACTAAATGAGCGATAATTTATTTGAATTAAAGTTAAATTTTACATAAGGTAAATATTGTATAAAAAATGGGCAACATTAGGTGGATATAGGGTACGAAGATCAGTGTAGTTGCCAGTCTAGAAAAGATGCTCATCCTTACTCACACGCTGGTTTCGATGGCTGCATTTTAAATTTTAGCAATCAATTTTCGTTTCCATGTCTCAATTTTTTTTATGACTCGATCTTACAAATTCCGAATATTTTGCTGGAATTCGTACGACTCTTTCACTTACAGATTTTCAACACTACGACGTGTTTCGTCGATGGGATCCATTTTTTTTGTTAATACATTGACGACGAGTTGTTATATGCTGCAAACAAAACCTTCACGAACGTTCATTATATCTAAAAACACCACTTTTGTTGTTACATATCGCAGAAATGTTCTGGTCCTTGTCACCATGCGTTGATTGATATTAATGCAAAACAAATACAAAAGAAAAAAGAGATCGACAAGCAACATTCGACACTTCGTTATGTATGTTGTTTTTTCTTCATCCCAACGAACATCCATCTTGACGACCGGATTATAGAATAACGTGTTATTTCTATATATATATTTTCAAAATATGATCTCTTCTTAAATTAGATATCGAGGAGAACATCCTAAAAAAGAACAATCTTTTCTGAAGAATAAATATTTGCTACTGTCCAATACTGCAGAGATAAAGTTTTGCACTTACAAAACACGATTCTAGCTTTACAGTTCCTACATCATATTTTAACTATAGAAATCAGCTTAGACAATTGTTGGAATTAGATCCATGTAATTGTATTTTGGATCAAAGACTGTATCCAAGTTTTATATAGAATGATATTCATTCTTGTCATTCATTGTTCCTCATGATTTCAATTTCACACACAGTTCATATTATATAATTGATTGATGTTTGCTGTAATTGTATTCCAAATTTCGTATATGATCAAACCAATTCGTCTGTTGCTTTTCATTATTACACAAGTGTGTCATATGATATGCCTATTTTAGTTTTGTCATGTAATCCGTATAAAAAAAGACAATAGGCGAACGGTATTTATGAATATGCAAAATATACAAACCAACTGGTTATTTCATACAACAATCATACAAGTAAAAAGAATATTCTACCTGTTTGGGGTGTGGGTTTGTAGCTATTCATTACATACCCACACCCACACTCACATCCTTGACACTGTTATTATTTTATATAGCAATGTGCTGATTCTTTCAATATATCTTTCAGTGCTTACTCTTTATTGATACATCAGTGCTCGTTGACGACGAAGACATTTATGTAAAGCGAAGAGTAGTCAAACAAAAACGATCAGTTTCGTGATGTTTGTTTTTTTCACAGAAAAAGCAACAATAAATCAATCGAATAATTTTTTTTCTTTTGGCACATCTTTAAGTGCTGTATCTATAAGAAATAGAACTTGTTTCATCTCTGCAGTTTCTATTGGAATACTATAAAAAAATTTCTCTTGTTTAAAGAAAGGAAAATAAGTTGTAGCAAGCAAAGAAACCGACATTCTTTCTTTGTTCTTTGAATGGGAAAAAAAGATTTTTCCTCTACAAAAGAGAAGAATGAATAAGAATGGAAAAAGGTATGGGTGTGGATGTTGATCGTCTCTTCACCCACAGCCACAGCCACAGCCACAGCCACACCCACACCCACACCCACACCCTCAAGTCATCCTTGAAAATTTCAGCTCAAATGTACTATCCCAAGTGGGAAATCGTTTCTGAGGGAAGGAGTCCCCTTAATTCATGGTATTCCATTCTTTATTTATTAAGAAATATCACCGACGACAAATTTATGTTCATCTATGAATATTGTATTGACTTTGTATCTTCCAATATTTATTCTTGGGATCTTTTTATTTATACCAACTACATCAACAATTATATTTGGATTTCTTACCTATAGAAACGTACGTCAATCAATAGGTCTTACTAATCAACATGCAGATCGTTAATGAGTAAACATGATTTGTATGCAAATTATTCTAATAATTTTAACTACTATTCCATGTGGAATTTTAAATATTTATTCATTAGTAACAATTAAAACTATTAAAGATAAAGATCGTTTAAATACAGAATCGTTAGTTTTTACAATTATTTCTCTCAATATATATATTTATACTAGTGTATGTATTATACAAATTTAAAACGATAATTTAAGAAACAAAAATTTTTTTCCTAATGTTCTATATGGAGGTTTTTTGTTTTTATGGCTTCTTCAATTCGTTTTTCTCAAATGGTAAAGAAACGAATTTTTTGTTGGCGAACTGTAAATCAAATTAGTCCACAATAATTGACATTATGTCAATAAAATCAATTTAACTTCTTACAAATTAAATTTGAAATGATGACAGTTGAATTTTAGATTTTAGAATAAATATTATAATAAAACAAAAAAGTTTTTTCATGGAATTATTGATACATGGATACATACATATCTGTTGTATATCATTTTTGTAGTCTGAGAAATTTTACACTAAATTGTATTGTAGAATTTATTTTTATACCATGATTTGTTGTAAGGTTTTACCGTCTGATTGTCTGACCTGGATGCACTTTTACAATATTTTTTAACTGAATCCCGTTAAGATGGAACGAAAGAATAACTCTACTTGATATGAGTTTTTTTTCGTTTACTAAAAACAAAAGAATCTTCTCAATATGGGAATTTTCAAAGTAAGAAATTCTTAGGTAGAGATGTAAGCCGATGCATGGATTGGTAGCGCCCCATACCTCTATTCTTAATTTACTAAATATTAATACTATTGTAAATAGTAAACTTTGTATTTTAAAATGAAATAGCCTCCTAGGAAACTAAGCTTCTGTATTTACCTATTTTATAAATGTAAAATCATTTATTCTGTATATTATTATTGTTATTCATAATTATCTTAAATTATAATAAATTTATATTGCTATATCTACATTATCATTTCAGTTTCACTTCATCGGTTCATTTCTTATCTTGATTCTAATTCTATCGTATTCTGGTAAATATTCTATATACACAACTTAAATATGGTTTTAATGTATATAGGGTGTCCAGAAAGTCACTAGAGTTAGGAAAAATTGCATATCTCTCTGCTACGGCTCGAGCAAATAGACTGATTTTTCTACCAATAATAGAAGTATGTTCACACTTTAAATCCATACAGACAAGGTTAGAGAGAGCCTTTGTTAAGTACCACCAACGACCTCAACAAAAAAAATTTTACTTTTTCACAGATAAGAAAAAAAACAATAGACTTAACAAAGGATCTCTCTAGACATGTCTTTATGAATATAAAGCTTGAACATGCCTCTATCATTGATAAAAGAATCAGCTCTTTTGCTCGAGCCATAGTGAAAATATTCGATTTTTTTTTCAGCAAAGTGACTTTTGCGTCACTCCGTATAGTGTTTTTTTTCTATCTGTGAAAAGTAAAATTTTTTTTGTTGAGGTCGTTGGTGGTACTTAACAAAGGCTCTCTCTAACCTTGTCTGTATGGATTTAAAGTGTGAACATACTTCTATTATTGGTAGAAAAATCAGCCTGTTTGCTCGAGCCATAGCAGAGAGATATGCAATTTTTTCTAACTCTAGTGACTTTCTGGACACCCTATATATTAAGATAGTTTCAATTACAATTGAGAAAAAATGTTCAACAGATGATGATTGTGATCTTGAATTAATGTGTAATATTGAAAGTCATACTTGTACATGTCCTCAACCATATTTTTGGCATGAAGATATTCGTGCCTGTTACGGTTGTGCTCCTGATTAGTTAAAATTACAAACAAATAAATGTCTTCTATTTGCCATCAGTCATTCATCAGGTGTTATATGGTGTGAAGCTAAGAAAACTTGCTCAACCATTGATGACCAGTAATATCCATGAATTTACAACTTTGCAAGATCAAATTGAATATTTATTAAATGGAAATGTTGTATTAGTTGCTAGTCCTAATTTTTATCAAGGTGCATGGGTGCGAATAAATAATGGTTAATAGTAATGTGTTTAATTAAATTAATTTTTTTATAAGAGAAGTGAATTCTACATATACATTCTAGAAAAGAAATCGAAATTGAGTCGACAATTTCAATCATTTTGAATAGTTTTTAAAACTTTTTTTGTATCTGATAACATCAAACACTTTTACTTAATGGCAAGAAATTTTTTCATAATTGCTTCTCTTTCTAGTAATCAGAAAAACATTACTTCCAATCATTTGTTTTTTTCAGTTCATTTTGATACGGTCTATGTTAATCTGATGATTCCAGTTGATCAAACAAAATTAACGTTTGTTGTTTTAGTCGTTAATTATTTTCTCGACTCATTTTGATTTCGGTTTTTTAGAATGGTCGAAACTATATTCATGGTGTAATAATGATGAAAAAGAAGACTGTTTTGATTGTGTACAAATACGACAAAATAGTATAACAAATACTATCTATCTTCAAAATGTTTCATGTATTCAACAATCTCAGTACATATGTGAAGGTAAATTTATTCTTATTGAACATTAAAAAAAAGAACAATCTTCGAATCAATTTTAGATTTAACATCACCTCTCGTTCAATCTGAATTAAAAAACAAATAAAGCTGAGGCAGAACGTTCAGAGATAAAAAATATAAATAAAGAAATAATGGTTAGAGCTCCACCTAAAGTACAACTCTAACGCCTAAACGTACTACTTTACAAACAACCGTAACAGCAACGAAACGAGCAACTGCAAAAATAACAACAAAAAAGTCTGGTCCGAATGCTAATAGTATTGTAGATGCTCTCAGTGGTGGAATTAATGCTGTGTGTCAAAGGAGTTGGCGCCTAGACCCCCGCTTACTTTTTTTTGTTTTAGCATTTTTTTGTTGTGGGTGATGTGGTGATATGAAAGCACTATGTTAGACCTTGAACATTTGTAGTTCCACCAAGAAAAACAATAAGGATCATCTCTATAGAAAATAGCGGAAAATGATTAGTATTTCGACGTTTAAGTTATCGAAACACGGTCTATGTGCAAGATAAGCACGGTATCTGGAATCCGCATTAAAAAATACATCAAAAACTCTATTTCCCATTGTGAAATACTTACCATCCAAGTTATAGCGCTACTGCTTCAACTGTTTATTCTTTAAACCTTTCCCTTGGGTTCTCGAAGGACAACATCTAGATGGTAAAGATTTTACAACAGGAAATACGTTTTTTAGGGTATTTTTTAATACTGATTCCGGATATCGTGCTTATCCGGCACATACACCGTGTTTCGATAACTTAAACGTCGAAATACTAATCATTTTCCGCTATTTTCTATAGAGATGATCCTTATTGTTTTTCTTGGTGGAACTACAAATGTTCAAGGTCTAACATAGTGCTTTCATATCACCACATCACCCACAGCAAAAAAATGTTAAAACAAAGAAAAGTAAGCGGGTACATAACCAATGAAAAAAGCTCTAACTTCTTTCTAATGCACTAGGAAATGCATTGAGTAAAAAGCGAATAACAGCAAATTCTACTAATCATATGATATTATATTTTTTTCTGTTTCTATCTAACTGGAAATACAAATCAAAATTCGCAGGAACCAAATGGTAAATAGAATAATTTTTTTTATTGATTTTGAATATTTAATCTATTACAATTAGATGATCGAATTTTCGTAAGATACATGGAGCCTAAATGTACTAACGAGGAAAGTCTCCCGATTGATTAATCATTTTTGAGTCGGAACTATCTACATCATGTAAAACTTGATGAGGTATGAATACTCTAAAAAGGAACCGTTATATCGGCAGATACATACAACAAGTTTCTTAAATCTATATCGAAAAATTTTAATTTTCTTTTTCGTGAGACCAACTAAGATATGACTATGCTAAAAACGTCTCATACTTAAGGTTTGAAGCTTTTTCTATGCAAAGTTTCAAGTCAAATTTTCCTAACGGTCTTGAGAGAGACTGCAGCATCCAGTCAAAGAATACTATATTACTACCAGCAACTTCAACCAGTTGTTTTTTTTCGAAATCTTTTACGATTTTTCTATATATATCGTTATCTGTCTTATGACCAAACATACTTCTAATCGATAAGTTCCAGTAGCCCTTCATTGCTGAAGTATCGTTACAGCAATAAGCTAAGAGTCCAAACTTTTTAAAGGGTAATCATAGTTCATTAGAGTCCAAATGATGCAAATACCACAAATGGAACACAGTTTATGTCAATAATTTCTGATCATATTTTTCTTTCATATTCTCATAAACTTTAAATCCTTCTTAATTGGGTAAAATCGAGAATGACAGAATTAGTTTTTATTAAATAATAATTTACTTCATTGATGTTTTTCTTTGTTTACAAGTAATAGAAAATGCCAATAATATTAATGACGAACAATTAGCACTTGCTCTTTCATCTTCAGGTACATATAAATCTTTTTCTATTTCACATCTTATTCATTAATATTTTTTGTCATATAGGTGATGATAGTTCAAATAAAGACTTGAACAATATTCTATTTTATGGTGGTATTGCTGCTGATATTATTACACTAATAATCATAACGATCATTGTAATTTACTGTATATCGAAACACAGAAACTTCAAATAGTATAACAAGTTTTACAAGTGTTGTTAGTCAAGAATAAATATTTCTTTTGTCAGACATATATCTTTCATCAATAAAATTTATCACCATATATATAGTTAACATCATCAAATGATAATCATAGAGTTTTTCTATTTGTTGTTGATTGACAGCAGACATGTCGCAAGCCTTTCTATTGCATTAGAAATATGATTTGTTTTTCTTCGTCTGCATTAAATGAATTGAATGAAGGTTGCCCAATTAAATTTTCCAGCGATTCTTGAAAGATGACATTAGAATTGCGAATAGAATTCTTAATCTTGTTCAACGAAGGATCTGAATTTTTTTCTAAGAAATATTGAAAGCTTTGTTTTCTTCGTTTTTGATGAATTATCAAATAGATTCTTGATGAAATAAATATCTCAATAGATTTGAACAAAGATTGCGTCTCTTCTTATTTTTCTCTGAGAAAGATAAATCTCAATCGTAAAGAAATTTGTCTCTGGTCATAACATTGATCAATCACAAATTTGAAATAATATTTCAATTCTTATGTTTTCACCTCTTAATTGAAATTTGTTAAGATTATTTCTTCAGCTTTGATTGAGGTTGAACTTATAAACTTTGCTCTGACTTTGGATGAAGAGACGAATAAAGAATTTAATCGAAAGACAATCTTTGTTAAGAATTGAAAGTATAACATTGTACATTTGAAAGAAACCTTTTTGTTGTTTTTTCTCACATTTCTATTAATGATTTTAGTATTCAGATTTGATTAATAGACGTCGAAAAAATTAATATTGTTCGAAAAACTATCCTGAGGGTGACGGTGAGAGAAAACTTTTCTTTTCACTCTCACTTTATATCAATAAGTCTGATTATATTTCTATCAGGCTTCGTTATAATGCATTATTTTGAACCGCATATATTATTGGTGTGTCACATTTGATGTGTCCTCGCTGATTGACCGTTTCTTTTTCTTCTTATATCTTTCTACTGTGTCGTCTGATTCAATTTCTTTCCTCATCGATCTATCGATAAAGAAAAAAAAGCGAAGAATATAGGCATAACAAAAAAAAAACAATTAGAACATAATTTCACACTCATTGCTATATGACATAATTAACGGATATCATTATTTTATAAATAACGTACATAGACAAATACTCTAGAGTAGAGTAAAGTAAAACAAGCTGATTAATAAACATTGCTTTTTCTTTTATTAAACAAAAAGATAAAATAACAAAGAAACAAAGAATTTAATTATGATCAGTCCTGTCGTCGTTAGCATTATTTTTGTTTGTTTTTAATTCATTTTCACGCTTTCGCCGTGCTTGTTCACATTGATAAAAGGCGGTGATTAAATCATTCCATTGAATACAAATATTGGCATGTTCTAAATTAAGCTTGTCTAGACTAGTTGTGGTATCCTAAAAAAAATGATCACGATATTTGAAAAAAAATGAATATTCGAAGGCACTTACTTCAAAGCTTCGATCAATTGCATAAGATATAGCCAATCGTACGAGTTCAGCTATATCAGCACCACTGTAGTTATTGGTAACACTAGCAAGTTGCTGAAAATTATCTGTTGAAATATTGGAAGCCAGAAATCCATTCTTTCGAGGTTCATTGAGATGATAGTTAAAAATTTCCAGTCGTTCTTGTACATTTGGAAGATCTAATAAAAATATCATATAAACATTGATCATCACGTCAATAACATCATTACAAACTTACCAATTTTGACTTGCAATTCAAACCGACCACCACGAAGTAGTGCTGGATCAATCATATCCAAACGATTGGTTGTACCTAAATTAAAGAAACAGATTGAACTCTTTGTATGATATTTATTGATTAAATTACCGAAAATCAAAATGTTGTTCAATGCATCATAACCATCCATCATTGTCAACAACTGATTAACGATACCGTTACGTGTATCTGATCCACCTTCCTATAAAGAAATTTATTAAGTGTTATTTTCAAACAAATGCCGTCTCGTAGAGCGTATCATATGAGTTTATCAAAACTTACACTTGATGTTCGCTTTGAAAATAGAGCATCTATTTCTTCAAAGACGATTACATGTAGTGGACTTGAATCACCTTTCTAAATGCGTTGAAAAAGAAACAAATATCATAAAAACTAGTTACAATTTCCTCGATACCAATAGCTTACATTTTTTTGATCTTTCTTAGCTTTTTCAAAGAGCAGCCGTACTGCTTCTTCAGATTTGCCGATCAAAGAGTTTAACAGTTGTGGACCATTGATAACTTTTGGTTTGTACTTAAAATATTCGCACAATTCCCTATAAATTAAAACGATATTTGTTAACGAGAAAAATTGAGTTCATTTGAATGACATACCTTATAATAGTCGTTTTTCCTGTGCCGGGTGGTCCGTATAAAATTACACCACGTACAAATTTAAAACCTGTAAAATAAATACTAGAGATCATGAGAGCATAGAATAAATATCGTTTACCTAATTTTTTATACGTAGCTGGTGGCAATTCGCGTGGTCTTATAGCGCGTCGGACAATTTCCTCAATTGCGAACGAATAGCCGGCAAGTTTAATTCGAGAAAAATCGATGATAGGCTTTTTGTTCACTATCAACGATGATGCGACGCCTTCCACATGATATTCGTGACCCAAATGGAGACGACACATGCGGCTCTATCATATAGAAAAAACAACCGTTATATTCGAAAAAAAAAAAATTTATGATTTTCTCACCTCCGAATCACCGATAAGCACGTATCCGATTGGAACAGATGAATTCATTATCAATCGAAATTGATAATGAACACCATTCGACTTTGTAATTGTGATTTCACTTAAAAAAAAAAAGATATATAGATAATCTTTTTCATTTTATCGTGTTGTTTCTTTTTCTTTTCTTTCCTCGATTTCTGATTATCAATATTTCTTTTTCATCTCATCTCCATTTCACTCAATCAGCACTGAAAAAATAAAAAAATAAAAAATCTATTCATTCAATTACTCATTGCTTCTCTGTCTTTCCCATCCATAAAGTATTCACATGGATCTACGACTTGAAACATGCAATAAACAACTCATAAGTAATATAAATTTACTTACGAGAACGGTTTTAGTTCTTCAACATTTGAGTTGACGATAACAATATTTTCCATACCAGGCATAAATGTTCTTTCTACTTCGAGAATAACCATATTTGTATGTGTATATGTTTAGAAGATGAGTGTACACTAAGAAAAGGGGGTGAGTATTTATACTGCCTACGATGGATCGTAATAGACTTAACGATCAAAGCAAACTTCAGGATGTCAATCCACTTAACACTGAGAGTCTGTCACTATCATCAAACGTGCTTTGATAATCATAAAATGTGAAATTTTTCATCACCGATACAAATAATATTTCAGCTCGTTCTGCTTTATAAGTGAGTGGTTTATCGTTCATCATATATATGTTAATAGATGTGATATTTTCTCATCACTAATGGTGTTAAAAAAAATCACCATTCGTTGATTGGATTAAAACATCATATCGTCTAAAATAAACCAATCAAGAATAGAACAGTTTCATATAAATAGTGTAATTCTATATGAGCGATCTATTTACACAACTAGCTCATCATCATTCACATAGTGACCAAAATATAAACAACTTCTTTCAATTACGTGAGTACCTTTTAAAAAATATTCTGGATTGCGACTAGTCAAGATGTGGAAAATAGCTGAGATTCTGTATGTACTCGAATAGTGCCATCGTAATTCTACATTCACTCCAAATGGGATGAATATAGAATCGAAAAGTAGTTCTCAAAGAACATCTTGTAGATAACGATACTCACAAGATTTTGAGAAACAAATTTCACCAATCAATAGAGTAGAGATTCAGCTAGGTGTCTTGTGAAGAAAGTTTTTCCAAAAAAAGGAAAATAAAAAAGTTATAGGCGATATGCGTGAGCTCACTAATTTTTTGTCTACATTTACCCCAACTTACTCTATGCGAATTATTCTTCGTCTCTTTTTTTCTTGCATGTTTTTCGTCTTATTCATTGAATTTGAACTGAATCAATTAAATGTTCAAATACAATGTCATCAATTATTATCATAAAATCATCACAACTTGTATATGCATATCTCACTTTATATGAAACATTCTTTTAATTTTGTCTTGCTCTATTTGTAGCAACAAAAAAAAACATATCAATTGTTTATAAGAATTATAGAATTATTTTTTCATTTTTTTATTGTTGTGTGAAACAAAAACAATAACAAAAAAGAATTAAGTATTTTAAGTAAAGCTCGAGCGACTAGTGTGCCGGTAAGGCACTTGTATCTGACAAGAAACATATCGATCGATTTTAAAGTTTCAATATAATATCGATAAATTATAATAGATAAATTAAACATTGGCAAAAAGATAATTACTGTCATAGGTTTTTGCCAAAATCTTTAAAAAAAAATGATACAGAATTTGCGAGACTCGAACGACCTTGCTGGTTCAATGAAAGTTGTTACATTTTATCTGGTATCTTCATCTTGTTTTTGTACACACGTTATAAATAATTCATGTCTACCATGTACATGTGCAAAAACAAGATAAAGACAGCAAATAAGAAAGAAACCTGTCAATAGTTGAACGATGAAAAATTGTTTGTTGTAATCTAAAACCAAATCTAATTTCTTATAAAAACCTTTTGCTTTTCGTTTAGTCATTTTATGTGTTGTTGAACATTTGAGACAGTACTTCCTTCTCTATAATAGAGCAAGTCGGGGTAAATGTAGAAGAAAAATTGAATATATTTTGT